ATAATATGTAATAATAGTAGGTGCTAATGTATAAATAACAATAGAATAATTGAAGAATGGAGCTAAACCAAGTTTTATAAAAATACCTATAATGATAAATAATCATGGTGCACCTAATAATTGATTGTATTCTAATCCACTAAATGTATTTGGATAAAATAATGTTATAATATATTGAATATTAGTTAAACCTGTTTCATCATATATTGATATAGTACTATCTAATATTAATAATGATCCAATACTTCCAACAATAAAATAAAATAAACCAGCTTTTAATGTATTAATAGATTTATTAAATAAACTAGTTATTATATATAATGAATATGATTGTAGTTCAATTATGATAAATAATAACATTAAATCATTAATTTGTGTTAACAGTATTAATCCTAGTGTGTTAAAAGCAATAATAATAATTAATAATTTGTTTTTATAAATTAAATTATCATAATATTTTATACTTGTGATATTATTGGCTATAATACTAATATAATAAATAGTAACGATTAATATTAGTAAGGTAATAATATAATTAAGACTATTGATCATTAATAGACCATTATATATGTAATATATTTGATCACCTACAATAATATTGTAGTCCATTAAATTTAAAATAATAGTATAAATTAATGATAGTAATAATAATCTGGATGTAGTTTTAATAGATTCAATATTTGTATTTGTAAATGTAGTTAAGACAATTGTAAAAAATAATGTTAGTGTAATCATGATTTATAAATGAATTTAAGAACTATTAAATAGAACTTTTTTAAATTACTAAGAATCGAACTTAGATAGTTTCATTATGAGTGAAATGCTTTAACCATTAAGCTATAATTTATTTTATCTTTTAAAATAAAGATTTATAATATGATTAACTGGATTTGAACCAATAAAAACTTAATCCTAAGTTAAGCACGTTTACCAATTTCGTCATAATCATATTTATTTAAATTTTCCTTATATTATAGTATAAATATAGTAATATATTTACTATACCTTTATATAAGAAAAAAGTATAATCAATTAAGGATAATTGAACTAATTTATTAAAAAATGAATATTTAAAATAATTAAATTGCTAAATATTAGAAAGAATTAAGAGTTTACTCTACCTAAATAGAATAAAATATTTTCTAAAGTTGAGATAGCAGGAGTAATAATAATAAAGTAAGCAAAGTAATAAATAGTTGTTCAAACACCTAATTGAATAAATGGTACTTCAACATGTAATTGTCCTAAATTAGCTAATAATACGAAATTAAATACAAATAATCAGAAGAAGAATTTAGAGATAGGTTTGAAAGCTAAACCTCTATAGATACTACGATCTGTATAAGGTAAAATTAATAATATTAAAAGAGCTCCAAACATAGCAATAACTCCTCCTAATTTATCAGGAATAGAACGTAAAATAGCATAGAAAGGTAATAAATATCACTCAGGCACAATAGATGCAGGAGTAACTAATGGATTACCAGGGATGTAATTATCAGGATGCTTTTATCTTAATTAATATAAGATTAAAATGGACTATCTCTTCATAAATATATTATTTAAATTTATAAGAATATGATTTTCATTTTAATTCAAACTTTAATCATGATTTATATAAAATAGAATCTTGATTTTGTTTATAAGCGTTAATATCATAAAATTTATAAAAAGATTTAATTAAAAATAATTTATTACCTTTAAAAGATCTTGAAGGACATGATTTATTGTAGTTATAGAATAAAAGATGTAAATCTTTATTAGTAATAGTTCATTTATAATAACCATTTTGGCTTTTATCAAAGTAAATATTACCTCCAAAAACAGTTTTATATGGTTGAACATCAAATAAATATTTATTAGTTACACTAATATATAACTGAGGACGTTTATTTTGATAATAATAATTAATAGTACCATCACCATCAAAGAAACCAGAAAATCAAGCATGATTAAAATGTAAAGCTTCAATGTCTTTAACTTTAATATTTAAAGCATTACAAATAATAATAAATTGTGTAATTCTTTTTGAATTTCTAACATTACCATTAATAGCATTAATAAGTTTAATCATGTTTTCTTTTTTAGATAATCTATATCTAAGAGAGTTAGAACCAGATCTAGGTTTAATAGACCCTCCGAATTTATTTTGAATTTGACGTAACATTTTTTCATCTTCAATAGATGTAGTTATTTCTAATGTAGGATATTTTTTACTTGCTAAATAAAAATAACCGTCAGCATCAATTAAACCTGCTAATCATTGATTAAATCTAGTATCACTATCAATATTTAATGGTAACTGATTTTTATTATCTTCATTTTTTATTTTTGAATTATTAAAGTTAATTAATATCGAATTTTTTCTTATAAAATTAGTAAATAATTTATGTACACGTATAGTCTCTGAGATTCCTACTAGTATATTAATTTTTGATCATAAATAGATGTAATTTAAACATCTAAATAAGATTAAAGTATAAAAATTAACTACGTTGGTTATCTGCTGATTATATTCATTATAATAATATTTTACTTTAAAGGGACTATGTAAGCCACTTACATTAATAGTTTTATTATAATGTAGCGAATACTTCCAGCATATAGTGTAATGCATTATTAACATTGACCATAAAGGTAATGAAATAAAGGGCCATAATTGACCTAATGTATTAGGTGAAAAGAATACAAAGAAACAGAAGAAAAAGAATCATACAAATACTGTAATTAAATCTTTAAATACAAAATATGGATGGAATGATAATCTATCTAAATTTCCTGTAATACCAACTGGGTTACTTGATCCATGAACATGTAATGCTATTAAATGTAATACAACTAATGCAGCTAAAACAAAAGGTAATAAATAATGTAAAGCAAAGAATCTTTGGATGGTTGGGTTAGATACAGAGAAACCACCTCAGATGACTAAAAGATAAAACTTACCATTTTATTTATCATTTAAATAAATTAATACAAATTACTTTGTAATTTAGACTATGTCATTATCCATTAAAGTATTTGTTTTATCTTCGTTTTATTAATGGATATAGAGTTTTCGTGGTTAGATTATTGTTATGATACTCACTAACTAGTCGTTGAACTTTTATAATTCTATTTTTTATTAATAAGCATTAATCATATAAATATTTTATTAATAAAAATTCATAAATTATACTTAGCTGCAAATTACCTATATAAAATATATTTTATAAGGTTTTTTGACAATTTACTCTATTTTCAATTATATATTACTATATAATGCCGCTCATCTGATATATTTTTTTTGTTTTATACTTTGTTTATTTCTTTCACTTTATATTATTGGAATATAGATTTATATCTGTTAGTTAAATTTAATTTTAAAAGTCAATTATGATAAGATTTTAATTTAAGACCTAATAAGGGATGATTTTTATTTGAATTAAAAAAATTAATAATAGTTTTTATGTTATTAATTGAAGATACTGTTAATTGATTATAAATACCTTTATTTGTAGAAATATTAATGGTATTAAAATTAAAATAATTTTTAATATCTCTTAATAAATTGAAATTATTTTTTTGTTTTAATTGATAACAAGCATCACCATTTTTTTTTATTAAAAAACTACCCTCACCAACAGTAAAACCAACTAATCAATTATTAAAAAAACTATATTTATTAAAATTGTCCTTAATCATATTGTTATTAATATAATTATTAATAAGACTTTTATTAAAAGTAAGGTCTTCATAGTAAATAATATTATTATCAATAATATATTTTGATAAAAGGTATTGTTTTTGTCTACTTTCAGTTAAAAATTGGATATTGTATAATTTTAATAAAGGATATAATTTATTTTTAATATCTAATTTAGATATTTCATATCTTATAGTTTTATTTCTTTTTTTTGGTGATATAGTATATATATTACCTATTTTTAATACTTCTTTAAAGTATTCTAACATATTTTTATCTTCAGGCGAATATTTTAAATTTAATACCATAGAAATGTAAATATAATTATGGGAGTTTTTTTTCTTCTTAGTTATACGAATATAACCATCAGCATCTATGAGACCTATAAATAAACTTAATACAGATTTTAAATCAGAATAATTTTTATTAATATTATCATTTATAATAATATTATTATTATTATCCATAATGGATGATAATTCTTTGAATAAGAATAAAACAAAATATAATGGTAAGAATAAATATAAGAACGGAACAATATCATTACCTACGAAAGGAATAGCTGATAATAAGTTAGTAATTACAGTTGCACCTCAGTGGGACATTTGCCCGTAAACAAGACAATAACCCATAAAGGCGGTTGCCATCGTAGCAATTAAAATTATTACACCAATAATTCATACTAAAACACGAGGTTTACGATATGAACCATAATATAATGCTTTACCGATATGGATGTACAGTAGAGTCAGCCGTATACAAGTTTCTGAAGTCTATCAGATACTCTTCTTTGAACTGCTCTCCGAACCGGACGTGATAGTTTCCCATCATCCGGCTCTCCAGGATAAATTAGCCAAAAAGATTATTTACCATTATAGTTTACTAGTATGACAATGTCTCTGTAATTTAAGTTACCCTTGTGTAATTCAATGTGATGATATCTACATAATGGAATTTGTTTCCGTAAATATGCACCTTGGATGGTTCTAAAGGTAGCGTTTCCAGTTCTAATTTTGTTTCTAACATCAGCAACCTTACGGAGGTGATGCATTTCTACATCTTTAGTTGATCCACAAATTATACAAGGTTTTCCAAAGTTAGAGGCTGTAAAACTTTTTCACACCACGTTAAGAATACTTTCTCAGTCTGTAGATGAACTATCGTACTTATGTTTAACCTTAAGTGACGAAGGAATATTTAGTTTTATTCCTGTTTGAGGATCAACTAGATCGTCTCCAAATTTTTGAAAGGCTTTTTTCATGGTTTTTAGTTTGAATTTGTTAGCTAACGTTAAGGCAGCAGACTGTCTAATAATTCAGAATACTCTGTGTAAACTTGAATAGTTCCCAGCAAATGAGAAGAAATTTAGAAGACCTCTGATAATGAAGTTATAATATTGAATTATACTGTAGTGGTCTTTTAAAATTAACCGTGGAATACCAGTAGCAATCACTTTGTTTTTGTGATTTCTTTTTGCGAAGCCACGAGTGATTAATTTATCGATTATTTTGGAGATAGGCGCAGTGACGAATAATTTAAGTGGTACCTTTCTGGCATATGATTTACCAGATTTGGTTACAGATTTAACTTTATAGACTCTGTTATCCAGTTTACGGATATTAGCACCTAGAAAATCAAATCCATCTCTAATATGAGTTATAACAGTTTTTTCCATATTTAATGAGGCCTTACATCTGACAAAAAGTACTTCAGCTATTTTTAGCTTGATATTTTCTGCATCCTTTTTGGAACCAATTATTAGAATAACGAAATCATCAGCGTATCTTACATACATCAACCTTTTGAAGTCTGGGTCCATGGGATCCTTTGATGGCAGTAAGCTTCTTTTGATCTTTGCTAATCTAAGTTCATCGGGAGATGCTTTTCCTCGTTTAATTATTTTATTTAATCTGTCATACTCTTTAGAGTAACTTCTTTCTTTTTTCTTCACTCCGTTTACCTTTTCAAATTTATCTTTAAATTCTTCCATTATATACTTATCAAATTCATGAAGCACTATGTTCGACAGTATTGGACTTACAGGTGATCCTTGTGGGAGACCTTTGTTAGATTTAACGACGATTTTAGTATCTGGGTCTAAATATCCAGCTTTTAAGAGCCTCTCAACATATTTGATAAAATGGACATCTCCTATCTTAATCTTCAATAAATTAAGGATTAGGTCATGAGGAATGTTATCAAAGAATTTCGATATGTCACCTTGTATTACTCATACATAGGGTCCTCCATGTAAATGTATCTCAGCTAAAGCTGTTTTAACAGATCTTTTAGGTCTAAAACCATGGCTACAATCTAAGAAAATAGGTTCATAAATATAGTTAAGTATTTCGGCCATTCCCACTTGTATGATTTTCTCAATAGGAGACCCAACTCCTAAAGGACGGGTTCCCGTTTTACCAGGTTTAGGTATGTTAACTCTTCTTACTGGTTTAAAGGTAAATTTACCTTTTTCAAGTTGTTCACTAAGTCTACTGATAGTTTTAAAACTGAATCCGTCCAATGTTTCATTGGTTGATCCTTTTGTCATGTTACCTTGTTTGCTTTTAACTTTGGAGTAACAAAGATTGATAAAGTGTTTATCACTTAGTATCCTATATAGTTTATGATATTTTTGGTTTCCATCATTGTTAGATACTCGGTTTTTAATAAAATCAGAGAATTTATTATCAACACTTTCACTCTTCCTGATGGGCGTTATATCCCTGTTAGACTTTTCGATATTAATGATTGAATCTACATCACTAATATCAATACTATTCAGAACTCCGTGTCCGCTTGAGTCAGAGGCGGTTACATCCTGAGGTTCCATCTTGTTGCTCTTATAAGACGAAAAGTATCTTCTAGTCTGTATGACGTTAGCTGCTTGCGATCTTGACATCAATATACTTTGACTCCCTTTGGCTTTGGGACTATTAACTAAGTTATGCATACCAAAGTTAACTTTTAAGTTGCCAAATAATCTATCTATTACTAGATAGATTAACGCCTTCTGAAGTGGGTCGATCGTATCAAGTTTGTTATCCTCAGCATAGTCAATTCCCTCATGGATCGAAGTTCAACTACGATCCACTCCTTGATACAAGGTATCTCAGAGTATATCTGCTATAACAAGGATAGGCTTATTAGGTTCTATCCCGTCAATATAAGAAGGTATCCATATTGTTAGTATAAACAATGTCCCTGATGGAAAGAATGTTAGACCAAACATTCGCACAACAAGTGGCTCGCTCAGCGCACTACATATGAAGAAGAATGAGGCACCATTAGCATGAGCATAACGGATTAATCACCCTAAATTAACATCTCTCATTATGTGTTCTACAGAATCAAATGCTAATTCAATATGTGAAGAATAGTGCATAGCCAAGAAAATCCCGGTTGCAATTTGTACTACTAGACATAAACCTAGTAATGACCCTAAATTGTATCAATAGCTAATAGTACTAGGTTGAGGAGAATCAATTAAGTAACTATTTACTAAACTTAAATAAGGTTGAGTTTTTCTATAAGCTTTCATAGAATATATATTTTTTAATTTGTCTTATATTTCCTCTTATTATAATTAATTAATTAAAATTATAATAATGAATATAAAATTTAATATTAAAATTATTAAAAAAGGATAATCAAGTATTACTTTTAGTTAAAAGTAACTGTGAATTAAAGGTTTAATTTAATAAAATAGTTATTTATTAAAACTATTTAGGCAATATTATATTATTTTATAATAAAATTGAACAGGTTTAGAAAGATTCGAACTCTCAAATATAGTTTTGAAGACTATGGTTTTACCGTTAAACTATAAACCTATAAAAAAAATTTAAAATTTTAAATAAAATCAAAGGTATCTCTACCTTTAAAATTTTACAATATTTTAAAAATAAGTTAAATTACGTCATTTTATTAAATAAAAATATATTTTTTAATAGACGTAAAATAAGGTAAATAATAAAAATAATAAAAAATTTAATAAAATTTATTAAAAAATTAATAAGATATAATTCTATAATATAATATTAATATAATATCGGATTAAGTAGGATTTGAACCTACATCACTGTTAAGTATGATAGCTCAAATATCACGCATTGACCGTTCTGCCATTAATCCATTTGTGAAAATTTATTGTACTTATTAAATTAAAATAAGAGAAATTAAGTTAGTTAAAATCGGGACTTGAACCCGAATAAAATATATTAACAGTATACCGCTTTACCAATTAAGCTATTCTAACATTTGTTTAAATAAAGTATTAATTTAAAATTTAATTAATCTACCATCACGTGGATCATTTTCAAATATTTCATTAATAAATTCAATTGTAAAATAGTAAGATAATCCAATTCTAATTTTTTCAAGAGATTTTATTTTTAAATAAATACGATAAATATCTTTTTTACCTGTTTTATGGATACTAATGTCTAAATTAAATTTCCTTTTAAAAAAATCTTGTAAATATAACATATCATTATAATTTAAGTTATTTAAATAAAATCTAAGATATTCATCTTTTTTAGATGTTATTATTTTATTTTCTCTTAATCAAAGACCTAAAGATATTCAAGAAAAATATTTCTCAAAAAATTCTTTATTTTTAATTAAAAATATTCATTTATTATGCTCACTATTGTATTCATACAATGAATGTATTAAAGGTGATAAATATTTAAAATTTAATCTTTTAATGTAAAAGGTAATTATACTAAATTTTTCATTGTTTTTACTTTTATAAACTTTCTTTTTTGTTAATTTTTTATTTATTTGAGATAAATATATTAATAAATTTCTTATTTTACCAATATATTTTATATCTTTAGCATTTCTACTATAATAAGCATCTAGTCTATTAGGTTTAAAATGTAAACCACCAAATGATAAACCAAGTAGTATTGTATAAATATTATAATCATTATTCTCAAATTTTGATAAGTATTCATTATTAAATACTGAGTTATTATTGTCAAGTAGTATTTTTAATTCTTTTGAATTATAACTTTTATTATTTTTAAAGTTTTTATTGTTTGGGTTATTTAAATTTAATGTGGTATTATTGATTCTTAAAGAAGAATAACTATTAATAATTAATAAATTAAGAAATGGTGAAAATAAATATGAATATATTTCTTGTAGAAAGAATAAGAAAGTGTTTTTAATATGATCTAATTTATAGATAAGGAGTTTAAAACTAAACACCATATAATAATAAGAATGAGATCATAAGACAGAATAATCCAGTAGCTTCTGATAAAGCAAATCCTAAGATAGCGAATGGGAATAATGTATTTCTTAATGAAGGGTTTCTTGATGTACCGTTAATTAATGCAGCGAATACGATAGCAATACCAATCCCAGCACCAGTTAAACCAATTGTAGCTATTGCAGCTCCGATATATTTTGCAGCTAATACTAATTGCATATTAAATATTTAATAATTAATTTTCGATATTTTGTATTATCTTTTTATAAAAATAAATAAATATATTATTTATAATTAAAAAAAAATACAGTTAATCTCACTATTTTTATAATAAAGTAATTTTTTAATATGTCCCTAAAAAGACTCGAACTTATACCAATAACGCTTCAAGTTACTGCTCTAACCAAATTAAGCTATAGGAACATGGTAAGTCTAAGATGATTCGAACATCTATTGCCACCTTATCAAGGAGGTATTTTAACCGGTTAAATTATAGACTTTTTTATTTTATTTAATATATTGATTTGATTATATTATAATTTTGTAATTAATAATCTTACAATTTGTAATTGTAGTAAATAAGGTAAAATTATTCATGATACTAATACTAATAATGCAAATAATGCTAAGTATCCATAAAATAATTGATTTAAGAAAAAGAATGGAATTAATTGTGGCATTTTTTATATACTTATTTTATAAGTTTAATTAGTAAACTTTAAATTTTATATTTATTTTCCGGTTTTATACACAACATATATTTATGTTTATATATCTATTGTTTTTCCTTATATCTTATGTATAATAACCTATGTATTACTAATTAATATATGTCCATATTAATATTAATAAAAGTTTATATGTTTATTAAAACTAAGAGTATTATGGCTATAATATTAATATCTTTAATATTAAATAATATAATTAAAAATAATGATAAGAAGATTAGTTCGAGAATTAATCCTAAATTTAAGAATAGTAATTTGTTTAATTTATTTGCATAGTATAAGAGTAGATTATATAATCCTATGGGACCTATATTCATTAATATACCTTTGTCAATATATCTATCTAAAGTTAAGGATAATGATAACATTCCTCTAGTATAAATATTATTAAATATTTGATCATAATAATATTTTTGATTAAATAGTCAATATATGTTTGATAATATAGTATTATTATAAATAAAGAAATATGAATAATAATATTCATAACCGATAATTAAACTTGTTGATAGAATGATAGATAATATTAAAGGTAATAATTTGATTATAGGATTTAAACTATATTCTGTATCAATAATACTTAAATTATTAGGTAAAATAAATGTATTATTGTATAGGGGTGTACCTAATCCTAAGTATAAATCTTTTAAAAAGTATCCTGCAAATATACTAAATATAGCTAATATTATCATTGGTATATATATACCAAAAGGATTATTACCTTCAGATAAATTATTATAAATATATTTAGGTCCGTTTGGAGTATTATAAAATATATAATATATTAATCTAATTGAATAAATAGACGTTAATGAAGCTGATAATAATGTGAATCAAAATATTATAAATCCACTAAGAGTATAATTACCATATAATGATTCAATAATAATATCTTTGGAGTAGTAACCAGTTAAACCAGGTATGGCCATTAATGATAATGATGCAATTAATATACAAGTATAAGATAAAGGTAGGAATTTTAGATAACCACCATAAGTTCTAATATCTTGGGATTGATGTAATACTGAATGAATGATAGTACCAGCAGACATAAAAAGTAATGCTTTGAAGAAACTATGACATATTAAATGAAATAATGCTAAATTATAAGATGAAATACCTATAGATAATATCATAATACTAATTTGAGACATAGTGGATAAAGCAATAATTTTTTTTATATCATTAGATACTATAGCAATTAAACCTGACATTAATGTAGTAATTCCACCAAGAGTTAAAATAATTAATAGAGCTATAGGACTATATTCGATAATATATGAACATCTTATTAATAAGTATACACCAGCTATAACTAAACAAGCAGCATGAAGTAAAGATGATACTGGTGTTGGACCTTCCATAGAATTAAGTAATCATGTGTGTAAACCAAATTGTACACTTTTTGCAGAACATGCAATAATAAAACAAATTAATATAATAGTTAATATATCATTATCAATATATAATGATGTACTAAAAATAGTATGATAATTTAAACTACCAAATACATTAATTGTTAAACCTAAGCCAATTACTAAAAAAGTATCACCAATTTTATTAACTAATAATGAATTTAAACCTGATTTTGCAGCATTAATTCTAGTATATCAAAAAGAAATTAATAAATAAGATGCAACTCCAATAAGTTCTCATCCTAAAAATAGTATTAATAAATTATCACCCATTACTAGTAATATCATACCAAATGTAAATAATGATAAATAACTAAAAAAACGTTGTTGATGTGGATCATGAGACATATAGTATATTGCATATAAATGTACTAATGTTGATACTGTTACAATTGGGATTAAAACTGAAATTGATATTTTATCAAATAAAAAATTTCAATTTATTGTTAAATAGTCAATATTTAATCAATTTACTAAATTTAAAATATATTCATTATTTAATATCATTATATTAAAATATAATAAATATGTAAAAATT